TAGCATAGGTGCTGGAGCTTTGCACATCAACAGAGTGAACTGTGAACTGTTCTTTGTTTCTGCAGGTGCTTGTGTTAATGTGACAGTGAAGGTGATTGCATATCTCATCTAACAGAATTTACTTTAGGTAGAGAGACTGTTACAACTAGAGTCTGTTTCTTGTGGGCATTGGATTACTCAGGCCTTGCTTTACTTCGACACCACTTGGAGATAGAGCATTTAATACTGGAAAGTATCTGCTCTCTGGCCACCAAGCTTGTAAGATTATAAAGCTCTTCTCTACGTAGTATGAGTGGGAGTTGCAAAGAATATTTTTTGAGCACCTACCACCTGATACTTTACTAAGCACTTGATATATATTATTGCTTTCTCCCCACTATAAGGAAGGCTCATTTCCTCTGTCTTATAGATGAGAAAGTTGAGACTAGCATCTTGTGGCAGAGCATATGGCCTAGAGGTGGATGAAGGTTTCAAATCTAAATTTGCCTTATTCTTGCCATGATATCCCCCTGTTTCCCATATAAATACATACCTGTTTTATGTACATAAGGAAGACTAAAGTATAGATTATTACAGAGAATATGCAAACATCTCAAACTTTTATGTTTCCTGCTATAAACTAACACAAGTGATAGTTTTAAAGGCAATCAATGTAAGATTTTCATATTTTAACTCTTATTTCCCTTAAAAACTCTTAAGAATTTAGAACCAAACTAAATGAAATATATGGTATAGATTGGACTTTGTGCCCCCTCCATTCCTTGTTCAAAATAACAAAGGGATCATTTTAATTACTTTTTCCCTTATTTAATTTATAATCCACACATAGAGTTTCACATACCTGTTCCCTTTTTCCTACCATTGTTATCTAGCTTGCCACTATTAAGTGAGTTATTATATAAAGACTTTAAATTTAAAGAGAATCTCAAGGTCCACATGTTAAGAAAGGAAAGGTGTGACAATGTAGAAGCTATGTTCTGGGACATGTGGCCAAGCAGGCCTGGGTTACCCACACAGTGACCTTCAACCCTAACATTTTCTTCCACAGGACTTTTTCACCTCATCCTGTCACACAAAAATCTTACCAGGGACCACTTGTGCTAACTGTCATCCTTTTAAAAATCTTCCTGGGTGGTGATCACCTTTTATGTTGTTTCTGGGAATTAAATAGTCTTAAGCCTATATCCTGCCTGAGCAGATGTTGGGCACTGGCTAAATGTTAATCATTGATGGTTCTCTGTGGGCAGTTTAGCTCAAGATCAGGAGGGCTGTCAGAGAAGAGGTAGGTGGGCTTAAAAAATCTCAAGTAGTTGAGCAGAAAGTTCAGAGAACACTAATAGGGAAAGCCACAAAGAACTCAGAATTTCTTGAGAACCTTCGTGTGAATCCTTTCAGACTAGGATGTAAAGAAGTGGAAGAAGATTTCATTGCCCTGCTGTGATCTGTAGCACAATTTTCTCCTTGAAGAGGTCACCTTGACCTTTGCATGTCACATGCAGCTCATCTTCCTGCCCCGGGACTGGAAGAAAGAGCTTATAAAATATCCACTTAACTTTTTTTGGTTAGGTTGAATACAAAGGAGTTGCACAGATCTGTAGGAATGTTGCCAAGAAGGCTAAATTTCTGTGAGCATATCCAACGCTGGAACGCAGGAGTAGAGAAAAGAAATTACTGCTGCCTCCTTCTATGTCCACAAAAAAATAAACTGCTCTCAATGTAGATGGGACATGTGAGGCCAGGTGGGGAGAGAAGAAGTGAGAAAGGAGGAATAATAATTTCTTCTGAAAATGAATGAGGGCAGCAAAACAGCTTTTATGGTTGGGTTTGGAGGTGTTAGGCCCTCTCTGAGTCAGCTGGTCTGATGATAACAAAGGACAGATTGGAAGTATGTGATCCTCTCTTGCTTCTGTCCCTTTCAAAGAAGATCATGTTCAAACTGGGAAGGGTAAAATAACATAATTAAGAGTGAGTTGTTGGTCCTCACTGAGGAGGTAAGTTTTAAGACAGTACCTACATGATTTAAATGGGTTTTCCAATATCCCTGATTTTTGACATTTTTTGCCTTTTTTTTTTTTTTTTTTTTTTTTGATTTCACGAAGCATCTCATAATCAATATATAATTAATATGGCAGGGTATTTTCCCCTGTAAACTTGTTATTAAGTAACTGGTTCATTAGTCTCTTAATCATGTCTCAGAATAAGGGAAAATAAGGTATTTTCCTTATGGGATGTTGTGTCTCAGATCACTATAGACATTTGTCAGTCATTGAACTGAAGAATTATAGTGAAAGGTTGTATGTAGAGAAAGGTACTAAAAGACTAGAAATGAGAAACTGAGGTTCGTATTTCAAAAGGGATAAGAGATGGGTTCCATAGACCGTGAACAAGGTTGATATTGATCCTGGGCAATACTCTAGAACAAGGGACGGCAAAGCTTTCTTATAAAGGACCAGGTAGTAAATATTTTTGGCTTTGTGGCCATAGAGACTCTGTCACAATTGCTCAGTTCTGCCATTACAGCGTGAAAACATCTGTGCTAAACAACACGTAAACAAATGAACATTGCTGTGTTCCATTAACACTGCTTTTTACAAAAGTAGGCAGCAGGTCAGATTTGCCAACCCCTACTTTAGAATACATTTGAATGGTTTTGTGTGTGTGTGTGTGTGTGTGTGTGTGTGTGTGTGTGAGTATGTAGAGCAGTGGTCAGTCTTGGTTCTTTGAGAATAAATCGGGCCTGGGAAGTTCTCCATCATTTTTCAACAGAGTTATTGTTATATAAGATCAAAAGTATAGTTTATTTTGAGGTCATTGAGGCCTTTGGCAGAGTGTTTCAAAAGAAGCTTTACAGAAGATGGAGAAATGTGGACCACTGCAGTTAGATAGTTAACTCTTTGGTGCCTGCTGTCTTTTAACTGATAAGATGACCATATATGAGTGCAAGGCAGAAACGAATGCTACCAGAATAATTTAACAGTATCATTTCTTTAAAATACTCTCTATATTAGCTTTTGAGATAAAAAGAACTGCAAACTTAATGTACTATATTCTGATAATAAATTACCCCAATTTGTTTGATGGAAATATGTATATTAAAATCATAATTGTGTTTTTAAAAGAGCGTCCTTATTTCCTGCTGCTCCATTGCTGAAAATGTAGTGTGTCCCACTCAGTACAGTCTTCATTCCTTGGCCCTGAAATAGTCTGCATTTTTAATCAACAGATTTAATGGTACAATGGCAAATTGAATTTTTGTGACTCAAACTTCATCTTCATACCAGGTTCCTATTAACTAACAAGCATACAGTAGGAACATTCAGAAATTAAAGGCTGTCTCTCCCAAGTTCAGTGTTTACAGTGGGGTGGCTTCCAGTTATGGAATGAGTAAGTCCTGGAGATGAAAGTCACAGCATAGGGAAAATAGTCAATGGTATTGTAATAGTATATGGTGACAAAAGGTAGCTAACTGGTGGTGAGTATAGCATGAATTATAGAGTTATGGAATCACTATATTGTATAGCTGAAACATCACGTGTCGACTATATTTAAGCTAAAAAAAAACCCAACTTTATAGACAACACAGTGTAAAGTAAGCCCTTTGTGTGTAGCAGTTTTCCAACAATTTAGGTTGGCACCAGACCAAAAATTCCTCAGGGCTATAAGTTTTAGCCACAAAGTCTATAAACTTTCTCTTCCTAAGATTCAGATGTATTTGATGTTATAGTACTTATTCACATTTCCCAGAAAATGCCAGCCGTCTTCTAGAATGCAGTGTAAAAAGGGGGGAAAAATCAGAGTCTGTGACTGCGGGTCAGAGAGGACACAGAGCAGAAGCAGGTATAATGGAATAAAAGTGTGTCAGCTGGGACTCAGCACTACAAGGGACAGAAAGGTAGCTAGCTCAATCTGGCCTAAAAGGAGAGACAAAGAAAAGGGGGGAGAGAGAGTGGGAGGAGAGGGGAGAGATATTTAGCAATGTATTCGCTTCTCTGGCTGAAAAGTCCAGCAATCTGGCTAGTTCCTAATCATGCAGACATCATGTGACAGCTGTCACCAAGTACTAGTAATGGGTTTCTCTCTGCTCTGACCTCCATGATGTTAGCCTCACCCTCCGTTACACATTGTGACCCCCGGCAGTTTTGGGTTCTTCCCATCGTGTTGGCAAAACAGCCCTTGCAGCCCTCACATCTCGCTATCCAGGAAAATCAGAGAGCTGCTTTGTCAGGAGTTCCATGGAAGAGAAAGGAAACTTCTTTGTCCCAGAGCCCCAGGGAACATCTTTTACTTTCATTGGCTCTATGAGTTTATGTACCAGTTCCTGAACCAACCGTTGAGAAGGTGGGTAGAACATGCTGATTGGCTCACATCGATCAAGGCCTGCCCCCAGAGCTACAGGTAGTGTCCCTGACTCAGACTCTAAGAGAATGGGGAAGGACTGTTTTCTCAAAGGGGATTCAGGGTCCTGCTCCCAGGAAGGAGGGAGCAACAAACGGCTGTCTACCATAAGAGCTGTGAGAAGTGACAGCATGAAAGGAAACACCAAAGAGGAGATGGCAGATGTTCCGGATAAAACAGCACAGCATCCTTATGCCTTTACATATTTGTGTAGCTTTTAAAGCATCACTAAAATGGTAATAATGCATCACTGATATTCATAGTGATGAACCTGAGACATCCAGGAAAGGTTAAATTATGTTTGATTTACTAAGACAGGGAAGAAGTTAATGGATGTTAGAAAAATCTGTGTGTGTGTTAATAAATGTCAGTGTTTTAAAAAGGACTAAAACTAAGCCAACCAAAAGCTCTTTTTACCATATCAGGCTTTTTTTTTTTTTAATGTCTTGTATTTCCTCGCACTTAATCTTAACCTGTACCTCATCAAAGCCATGGGTTTAACTGTGGACTATTTGAATAAGCCGTGTGTTCACTGTATTTGGTTTATATCTTAACAAGGTAAAATCACATTTATTAATGAAAATATTGTTTTTTGCCTTGTCCAGAATGCATACACAGCCACAGCTATCAACAGCACCAACTTCTGCACCTCCGCCAAGGACGCCTTTGTCATTCTTGTGGAGAATGCTTTACGAGTGGCTGCGATCAACACGGTGGGGGATTTCATGTTATTCCTAGGCAAGGTAAGACCAAATATGTTATCTGGGACATACAGTGAAGTTATATATATATATATATATATATTCTTTCATTTGAAAAATGTCTAGCTCATCAAAAAACTATTAAGTAAAATATGTAATATAAAGGAAGCACTTACAAAGCCCTTAATATGCATCAGGCACTGTTCTAAATTCTTTACATGTATGGTATTCATTTAATCCTAACAACAAATTTGTAAAGGAAGTTATATTATCCTCACTTTACAGATGGGGAAACTGAGGTACAACAGTTCAGTAATTTGCACATGTTTCTCCTTACATAATTTGGTCTGTAAAGAATTCAGAAACAGCCTGCTTAGTGGTTAGGGGTACTATATCTGGAGCCTGACTGCCTGGATTTAAATCCTAGCTCTGTCACTTACTACCTGTGTGACCTGAGGCAGGCTACATAGCCATTCTGTGCCTCAGTTTGTTCATCTATGAAACTGGGTTAATAATAGAGTCACACTCTTAGGGTTGTAAGGATTAAACTGGTTAATACATGTAGTGTACCTAACATGGTGCTTGATACATTGTAAATTCTCAGTGAATGTTAGCTGTCATTGTTACTACGTATAAACTCCTTTAAAACAGCTGTGAGGCGCCAGAGTGGCCAAAATGAACAAATCAGGAGACTATAGATGCTGGAAAGGATGTGGAGAAACGGGAATCCTCTTGTACTGTTGGTGGGAATGCAAATTGGTGCAGCCACTCTGGAAAACAGTGTGGAGGTTCCTCAGAAAATTAAAAATAGACTTACCCTATGACCCAGCAATAGCACTGCTAGGAATTTACCCAAGGGATACAGGAGTACTGATGCATAGGGGCACTTTTACCCCAATGTTCATAGCAGCACTCTCAACAATAGCCAAAGTATGGAAAGAGCCTAAATGTCCATCAACTGATGAATGGATAAAGAAATTGTGGTTTATATACACAATGGAGTACTACATGGCAATGAGAAAGAATGAAATATGGCCCTTTGTAGCAACATGGATGGAACTGGAGAGTGTGATGCTAAGTGAAATAAGCCATACAGAGAAAGACAGATACCATATGGTTTCACTCTTATGTGGATCCTGAGAAACTTAACAGAAACCCACGGGGGAGAGGAAGAAAAAAAAAAAAGGTTAGAGTGGAAGAGAGCCAAAGCATAAGAGACTCTTAAAAACTGAGAACAAACTGAGGGTTGATGGGGGGTGGGAGGGAGGGGAGGGTGGGTGATGGGTATTGAGGAGGGCACCTTTTGGGATGAGCACTGGGTGTTGTATGGAAACCAATTTGACAATAAACTTCATATATTGAAAATAAATAAATAAATAAATAAATAAATAAATAAATAAATAAATAAAACAGATGCGAGGGAATGAGACTTACCTATCCTTAAAGCATCTGAAAAAAGGTATTTTTTCTATACTATTAAAATCTGCAGAATAATAAATAGCAATATAATTGGATTTCTTTGTATCTGTATTTCAAACCATAAAATGCTCAGAAAATTTGAAAAATTGAGCTGAGCTGACATCACTATAATCTAATAATATCATTTTTATATATGCCCTCCCAGTGTTTTTCTTAATAGGTTTATATTTCTATGGTATAATAATTATAGCCTACATACCAGTTTGTTCTGTCCTCACTTCACATTATATCATATACATTTTTCATATTGCTTTGATAATCTTCATAATTATTCATTATCATTATTGTCAGTATTTCATCAAATGCTATTTTTTTGTTATTGTTATCTTGTATGTATGTATGTATTTTGAGAGAAGGAGAAAGAGAGCGAGCAGGGGGGAGGGGCAGAGAGAGAGAGAGAGAGAGAGAAAGAGAGAGAATCCCAAGCAGACTCCACGCTCAGTGCAGAGCCCGGCATGGAGCTTGATCTCATGACCGTGAGATCATGACCTGAGCCGAAATCAAGGGGCAGATGTTTAACTGACTGAGCCACCCAGGCACCCCCATCAGATGCTATTCCTAAACATTCTGTTAGTACCAAACACTTAAGTTACTCCAGCCACTGTGTGTTGAAAATGTTTTTGAAAAGGAAAAAATATTTGGTGTAGAGAGGCATGGAAAGCACAGTGTGGTGTTAAGTTCTCAGGCAACTGTCATCTAAAAAGAATGATAAAACTGTACACATAGTTCTTTTGGAAATTTGTAATTAAACTTACATTATGACTGTTGGATTTATTAGTGTCATGTTTTTACAATAAGAGGAAATGTTTTATAGTAAGGATTTAATAAGTTAATCTGTGTCAAGGAGTATAGTGTTGATAACAGTGTTACTGTTATCAACTATTGCTATTATTTATATGCTATATGACTGATTTAGGAAGGCTTCAGATTTTTTGTCTATTGTCTATTTTATGTTTTACATACTTGTATTTATCCCTGCTACTAAGAAGGATGTGAAGCAACTTAAAATAAAAACATATGTACACAGAACAATTGAAATAAAAGAGGGCGCCTGGCTGGCTCAGTCGGTTAAGCATCTGACTTTGACTCAGGTCATGATCTCACAGTTTGTGAGTTAGAGCCCCACATTGGGTGAGTCAAGCCCTGCTTTGGGTAAAACATGAGCCCTGGGTGAGCCCTACTTCTCTCTCTCTCTCTCTCTCTCTGTCTCTGCACCTCATTCGCTTGTGCTCTCTCTCTCTCTCAAAAATAAATAAATAAATAAATACATAAATACATAAAAAATAAAAGAGAAGCCATATATTGGAGTAACAGAAAACAATGTGGTAAAAAGGGCAATTTTTATATCTCTTTTCTTTTTTTTTTTTTAACTTTTGTTATTTTTAATTAAGTAGTCTCCATACCCAACATGGGACTTGAACTCATGACCCTAAGATCAAGAGTCACATGCTCTACCGGCTAAGCCAGCCAGGTTCCTCTATCTCTCTTTTCACTTCATATTATGTCATGAGCATTTACTATTTTATTAAAAATGTTTTAAACATCGTTATACAATTGTATCATCATTTCTTTAACCAAACCTCTAATTTTCTTTTTATAGTTAAACTGTTCTCATTCTACTAATATAAAGTGTGATACAGTGAAGCCATTGTAAGCAAACCCTTGCCTGTGTCAATCCTTATTTCCTGAGGCCAGAATCCTGGAAGTGGAATCAATGAGTCAGAGTACCTAATAGGTTTCTGGATGTGCATTACCAAATTGCTTACCAGAAACATGAAAGTTTGAATAATACAAAACTTATAACACTGTAAGAAAATTACTTTTAAAACATAGAGAGATAGACTTTTTTTATTTGATTGATTTATTTTTTAAAGTTTATTTATTTATTTTGAGAGAAAGAGAGAGAGAGAGACAATGTGAGTTGGGGAGGGGCTGAGAGAGAATCCCAAACAGTCTCCGTGCTCTCAGCGCAGAGCCTGATGCAGGGCTTGAACTCACGAACAAAGAGATCATGACCCAAGCCGAAATCAAGAGTCAGACACTTAAGCCAACTGAGCCACCTGGGTACCCCAAGATAACTTTTTTTAAATTGAGATATCCAAAAAAGAGAAAAAAAATAAGAGGGGAAAAAAGTATTTTAGTTTCCAACATACTAAGATAAACATTCTTCAGTTTTCTTTTTTAAGACTGTAGTTCTGATCACAGAATACAGTAAATCTTTTAAAAAGAATTTCTTTCACTGCAATTAAAAGTAGCTGCTAGTATGCAGAAATGGTCCCTGATCAGATAGTTCACATAGGTAGATCAGAATAAGCATTATAAAAGATGGTGTCAGGAACAAACTATGGATAACACACAGCAACTTGGATAAATCATGAGGGAATATTGCTGAGTGAAAAACATTAATCCCAGAAAATTAAATACTGTATGATTCCATTTATATAACATTCTTATACTTTTTTTTTTCAATGAAGTAAGCTCTACACCCAACGTGAGGCTTGAACTCATGGCCCTGAGGTTAAGAGTCATGTGGTCTAAGTGAGCCAGGAGGTACCCCAAATTATTTTCTCTTACATACCTTTTCTTTTTTTTAATTAAGTAAGCTCTACTTCCAAAATGGGGCTTGAACCATTTATAAACATTCTTAAAATGATAACATTATGGAAATTGGGAACAGATTTACGGTCACCCAGTTAGGGCTGAGGTTGCAGGGAGGCATAGGGGAAGTTACAAAAGGCTAAAGTGAGAGATCCTTGTTATGATGGAGATGTTCTGTACCTTGTCTGTATCAATGTCAGTACTGGGGTTGTGATATTGTACTCTAGTTTGACAAGGTGTTACTGTTGAAGGGAACTGGGTAAAAGGTACATGAAATCATTCTGTGTTATTTCTTACAATGAAATGTGAATTCAAAATTGTCTCAAAATATAAAATTTAATTTTAAAAACCCTGAATTTAAAAGAAAACAGAAGACAATTCCATGGATTCCATTTCTGTGGAACCCCAGTGGTTTCATGGAATGGTAAATTAGATTTAGGAGGGATCTTATCTCCCCTAGTTTAGTAGCTTGTGATCTGTGACCACTGGCCTATTGGGTCTTCACAGGTAAGAACAGAGATTTACAAACTATTTCAACATTTTCAGGTCTCATAGATATTGCATATTTGCCCAATAAAACTATCCAAAAAAACCCACAAAATCTGAAGCTCTTCACTTCTGTGTGAAATTATTTTATCTCATTTGCTAATACTTTTTCTAACATTAATTATTGGTAGTTTATTTGGTGTTGATTAATAAAAATGATAATATGAATTATTACTTGTAGGTGCTATTTTACTGACAAAATCTTTTAAAACATGAGCTCCATGTGTAAAGGGCATCGCAAATGCAAGATTTATGGTGGAAATGAAAGAAACAAACAAACAAAGATTGCTAAGCACTGTGTTAAATGCTTTCAGAATGCTTATTTTAACAATGGGATGTATGTATTTTTATGTCTCTTTTAAAGGTGGAAAAACAGATTCAGAAAGGTTACATGAACTTGCTTGGAGTCACAAAACTAAGAAGTATTAACTCTGTGATTCAAATCTACATCTTTCTGATTGTAAAACTAGCACCCTTTCCTTTCTGCTTCTCCCATCCTACCCTGTGTATGAATCTCTTCTATGCTGTCACCAAAAATGTGTCCTGTAGAACAAGAGTGTTGAAATGTTTAAAATCATGCATCCTATTAGAAAAAATTTTTGAGCACACTTCCTAATATATTTACATTTATTAATGATATATGTACAGCTTTTACTAATATATACATGGTAAAGCATAGTATAAAAGGAAATTAAGATAAATGAGAAATATAATTTGAAGTCCCGGGTGCTCTTAAATTCTCCCTTGGGTATGTGTACCCCACCATGGAGATCACTGATCTGAGCCAGTACTTCTTGTAGACTTTATCAGAATCACCTGAAGCAAATTTTATTTTATTTTATTTTATTTTATTTTATTTTATTTTATTTTATTTTATTTTATCTTATTTTATTTTTTAAAGTTTATTTATTTTGAGAGAGAGTGTGTATCTGTACATGTACACACACATGAACAGGGGAGGGGCAGAGAGAGAGGGGAAGAGAGAGAATACCAAGCAAGCTCCCCACTGTCAGCGCAGAGCCCAGTTTGGGGCTCCATCTCACAAACTCACAAGCTGTGATCATGACCTGAGCTGAAATCAGAGAGTTGGATGCTTAACCAACGGAGCCACCCAGCTGCCCCCACCCGAAGAACCTTTTAAATGAATATTGCTGGGCTTCATCTTAGCTCTAACATTTGGACTCTGGGGGTAGGGCCCTGGAATCTGTATTATTCACAAACTCCCCAAGTGATACCTAGCCCTTCTGCAGTTTGAGAACCATTAATGTATCCTCTGCTTGACACCCTTTCGTTATATTTGGGAGTAATTATTACATTATTACATTCCCTTGGCTTTTGGGCTAAATATCATTAATTCTTGAAGTTGTTTCTTACTTGTTTATTTGTTTGTTTTGAGAGTGCAAGTGGGAGAGGGGCAGAGTAAGTTGGGGTGGGGGGCACAGAGGAACCGATGAAGCCTGTGATGACAGCAGAGAGCCCGATGCAGGACTCAGACTTTCAAACCATGAGATCATGACCTAAGCCAAGTCAGCCGCTTAACCAACTGAGTCACCCAGGTGGCCCTTAAAGTTGTTTCTAATGTGACAGTATCCAACCTTCCACTTCAACAGATTTTGTCTCAACATCTAGTTTGTCGGAGCCGCACCTTTTCCCTGTAATTGACTTTAACATTTCAATGTGGCTTAACTTTTAGTGGTTTAGAGTGAGCATAAAGAACCTCAGTCCTTCTGTAGGACGGATGTCAAAAATTTGAAGAAGATATAAGAAACAACTCATTCTAAAAACCAAAAAGAGTGAAAGAAAATGGATATAATTAGCTATCTATAGAAGTCACCCCAGAAAGTAAATGACTGTAAGAGAGAATTCCTGAGTGTTTGCCACAAAAAATGGTGGAGGGTCATCTAAATTTTGGGCAGACCCAGATTTGCTCCCTAAAATCATCTGAAAATTTACAGGTCAATTTATAGTCTGCTCCTTCTCAGCACTGGACCAGAAAAGGCTGCTGTGGTTCTAGAAGACTCTTTTCCTTTGTTATTTCATGTTGTATGTTAGGCCAGGTGTAGGGCTGAGCATGAGTGTATTTAGGATTCAGTATAACCCATTACTGCTTTATATCAATATCCAAGTATTTGCTGAGTTCTTACCTTGAAAGAGGGCTGGATTTGGCATCATAAGAGCATTATTTGGGTGATATCTGCCCTTCTACTCTGTGACCTTGGGCAAGTTGGCTAACATCTCTGAATATGTTTCCCAGTCTATAAAATGAAGGTGATAATGTTTGCCATAAACCATTCCTAGGGATTGAAAAGCTGAACTAAATGTATTAAAAGAACCACAAGAAATTTCAAGTGCTGCACAGGAGGGACCAGAGTAGGTGGTTCTTGACAATAAGCAATTTCACTGTTTCTTATATTTTTCTATGATGGATATTTGTGGCAACCTCTTTCTTCACAGGTAATCCAAATCTAAACTACATGGCGACTCATATTAAATTTACCACATGTTCTCTGTGAAAAAATACAAAACAAAGAAAAAACTCTTAGAGATGTTTGTTGCAGCATTATTTATATCAGAAAACAATATAAGTCTCCAACTGTAGGAGAATGGTCAAATTTTAAGTCACCCATAAGATGAAATTATGCGGCTAAGTATTGATGAAACATTTATAATACTACTATAAATATTAATGAATAGCTTTTAATGATTTATTTATATAATACTATTTCATATATATAAAAGTACAATACCCTGGACTGTCAATAATTTTATTCTGAGTGCAATAGTGCAATTTTCTAAAATATGCATGCATAGGGGCGCCTGGGTGGCTCAGTCAGTTGAGCGTCCGACTTCGCCTCAGGTCATGATCTCTCACGGTCCTTGAGTTCGAGCCCTGCGTAGGGCTCTGTGCTGATAACTCAGAGCCTGGAGCCTGCTTCAGATTCTGTATCTCCCTCTCTCTCTGCCCCTCCCTCATTCTCTCTCTCTCTCTCTGTCTCTCTCAAAAACTAAATAAGCATTAAACTTTTTTTAAAAATAAAATATGCATGCATACATTTGTCTTAAAAATTGCCACAGGTGCTTAAATACGTGAAGTTTTAAGGAACAAGCATAACATTTGGAAACATGACTATTTTTCATGTAAACCAGAAGTGTTTAAAAGATTATTTTTTATTTATGTGATATACATGTATATGTGTGTGTATGGGTATATATGAATTATCCTTTGTAGCTTGCAGTGGAATGAATGTATGCAGCCAGCGTTTATAAATATTAAAGGGAATTTGAAGTCTGCAAATGATGAAGAAATAGTGGTTTTCTATGGTAGGATATTAAATGTGTTCTTTGTTCTCTCTGCTTCAGGTGCTGATAGTCTGCAGCACGGGTTTGGCTGGGATTATGCTGCTCAACTACCAGCAAGATTACACAGTATGGGTGCTGCCTCTGATCATCGTCTGCCTCTTTGCTTTCCTAGTCGCTCATTGCTTCCTGTCCATTTACGAAATGGTAGTGGATGTATTATTCTTGTGTTTTGCCATTGATACAAAATACAATGATGGGAGCCCTGGCAGAGAATTCTATATGGATAAAGTGCTGATGGTAAGTATTTCAAACGCCCTCTACTGCTTTAGAGGTAAACATACTAGTAAAAATATTTTGCAAAACGTTCTCCATGTTTAATTCCTGTTATATGCAACTGAGTAATTTAGAATTAAACCTGTAGGGCTCACGAATGAGGTTAGTCTTGGGGAAATCAGGGAAGAAGGAAGGTCCTCTTGGCATGGATGAGACCATATATATACACCAAGCTAGAGCAATACCCATTAATAGTCCTGAGTTCACATTATTTCATACTGCTCCCTCCCTCTCTGCAATTAGATGGATTAGAATTGACTTTTTACAACCTGAATTTTAGTCCTTGAATTGAAACATTGGACCACTGATGTTCTAAGTGCCCTTTCTTGAAGTGGAGCTCAAAGACAAAAAGTCTTTATTTCCCCGGTGGTAGCACCTGCCTATATTTTTCCGTCTACCACCTTTCCAAATAGTATTGCTGTCAGCCCCATTAGAAGTCATTATCCTAAGTATGCCAGGCCAAACTGAAAGTGTTTTGTAATGAATACAGATTAACAGACTCAGGACTGATAGATTATATACTGTTTTCCATTAGTCAAGATCTGAACTTTTACACAGATATTATATTCCGATTCTTTAGTTATCTAGCCTCTGCAGCTTCCCTGTATTAGAATCTCAATTAAAAATTTTAAAACTTTAGAAACTATTTAAATGTTTCAAATATTATTATCAATGTCAAATGCTCCCAAAATAAGGATGCTTCTTAATAATAGTACTTTGCCATTAAGCTATGAAATATTCCTATCTGAAGAGTAGGTAATATTGAAGGGTAAACATTAGACCTTGAGATAACAAGTCCTCTTCCAGGAGCCTGGTTTATCTAGTTAAATATAAAATAAATGTGTTAATAAATAAGATAGATTTTTTTTTTCAATTGCAGAAATTTCAAATGATTTAATGGACGTATTGGGTACTGATTATCTCTTTCACTGAAAACACCATCAATTAAATTTTGGAAATTTTCATAATGTCTAAATTATATTTCTAACTGGTTGTTTTCATAATGGAATTTGACTTGTGAGCATTCCATCTCCCTTCTGATTAAGACATTTAGAAGAAGAATTTGGCGACACCTGTCTGGCCCAGTTGATAGAGCAGGCAACTCTTGATTTTGGGGTTGTAAGTTTGAGACCCATGTTGGGTGTAGAGATTACCTAAATGAACGAACGAATGAATGAATGAATGAATGAATAAATAAGTAAATAAATAAATTTTAAAAACCTTAAAAAAAAGAAGAGGGAGAATTTGTTTTTTGTGTCTTAAACCCTTGATCCAGAGCAGAGTAACAAAAAATACTTTTTTCTTCTTTTGGTTTTTTCAGTAAGAATGATGAGGATATTTAATGGAGAAGTGCTCCATAAACTTGGACATGATAGAAACATTTCTTTGGGGCATAATCCCATTTTAACTACTTTTGACCACAGGTTCTGGTTGTTACTTCCTGTCTTCCTGCTTTATGGAGTAATTTCAAAGCCAGATAGACATTTTTTAAAAGTAGCTTATTTATGGTTGGGTAAAAACAGTATTCTGCGCTTAGTAGAATCAATGCTTTCTTTTACCTGCTAGGGCTAGTTTAAAGAGAGGGCTTATGGAATAAAACGCTCTTGTTTTTCTGTTTAACCTTGATATGGAAAAAGTCAGACAACAAATAGAACAATAATCTAAGTATGAGAAAACAGTCTTTTAAGAAAGCATTAGGGATTTTCTCTTCCAGATAGAAGTAACATTCTCTCTTTGAGCTTAAGTGAGATTGTCACAATAAATGGATGGAAAAAAGATGTCCTAAAGATATCACAAGTTGCAGCCCATGTGCACAGATTTAGCAGCTGTTGTGTAGTGATACTAAATATTATTCACTGCTCTGGTTTTAGGCCATCCGTGTACTGATATTGAATTAAAAATGTCAGTGTTCCTTAGAATTCATCTGCCAACCAAAATCTGAAAGGACCTAAGAATTTATGCAATTTGGTCCATATTTTGCAGGAGTTTGTGGAAAACAGTAGAAAAGCAATGAAAGAAGCTGGTAAGGGAGGCGTTGCCGATGCCAGAGAGCTAAAGCCGATGGTAGGTGGAGATGAGGAGGTGACCGCCCTCCAAGAATTTCACTTTCACTTCCTCTCTCTCTCTGTTTTCACTGACTGCACTTCTTCAGGAGAAGCTTTTGTTGTCTGTATCACACAGGATGTGCTGCTCTTTCTGTTTGTGTGTTTACCCATCACTTGGATGGCAGAATTCTTGTCACAACTGAGACCGCCTTCTGTAAAAGTAAGCTGAAAGGAACAACATCTGTCTCAGGGCTTATCATGAAGCAGGGGCTAATTTTTGTCCCTAAAGTAAAATGGCCATTTCTGGTTTTGGGGTTTTTTTTTTTTCTTTTAATTTTTAGCTGTACGTGTTTGGTTTTCAATGGAATGAACATTTGGTTGTACACTTGAACTGACAGTTTGATTTTTATCATTTTGGCAGGTGATATTAGCAATTCCTTTCAACTTGCTAAAATTCACATTCCCCACTTTTTTAATATTGGTTTGTTTCTGTTGCTGTCTTTTACCCTTTGCTGACTTTTTCTTCCGTTGCCTGGATTGTACTTTCTTTGTTTCTTAAGCTGTTTTTCAGTAGCAAACAAGATTACTCCATCAACACTCACATTCCCACTCAGTAAAACAACCTGGTCTTCTCTAACCTCAGCTTAATTGTGAGAAAGGTCAATGATCTCTGGTCAGTGATATGTATGTATATTCTAAGTACTCTACTTTCATTTGGGAAAAAAAGGCAACTTAATCAATGTAAGAGAATCCTGAGTTGCTTTTGCCACAGATACTCTCACCTCTGCATAATGACAGATAACCCTCGCATATCTTTGTGTAATTACTGCTTATTTTGCAAATGTATTGTTATTAAACAGCATGTTATTTAAAAATATTATATAACTGCCTACGTCCTGAAACAGCTAATTTTAAATAATGTGCCTTCTGATTGCACGTGATGTCCCAAAGTGTGAGATGAAGACTCCTCTTTCTTACTAAACTATAAAGTTTAATAAGTGGTTGATTTCATAGGTTTCCAACTTGCATAAAACAAGCACGTTTAAGTACATAAGAGTAAAGGAAATGGGTTTGTTTGAGGTTGGGTGCTGGGGAGGCCATATTTATATGCAAAATAATTGCATATTCAACCTAAATTAAAACCTCAGCAGAATGTTTAGATATAAATTCCTCCGTAACCCCCTCCAGGGCCTATTTTGGTGTTGCTGTTAATAGCATTAATGATTGTCAGAGTCAAAACTTCAATGTTTATTTCCCAAGGTACAGATCACTCTAATCGTAAGTCAAAGGATGTAGAACTCTTAGTTTTAAGCGTGCACCAGCCAGAACTCCGTTGAGTGGGCAAGGGGCACCATTAGCAGTCCCCCTGGTCTGGCTTCTTGCCTTCTCTACCCCCCCCCCCTTTCTGTATACCTCCTACTTGACCCTGGCCAAGGGGGACGGTAGTGAAGATTCTGCCGACCCTCTGGTGGCATGGTTAAATGAGGAAGGCTTCCTTCTTGCCACTGTTTGTTTGTCATACGTGTTCAGTAACTGGCTCCCAGTATAAACCTTAAAAAGGTAAAATATAAAATCTTTAAAATGTAAACTACCTTTGCCCCCCTTTTTTGTCAGTCATAATCATTTTTAAAAAGGGAGAAATATTTGGAGGTCTTGACTGGCTTGGTTTGACCACGAATTGGCACATATTTCTGCATTATCCTTTAGTGAAGGATACAGTGTGGAAGACGAGAATACAAGTATGCTGACTCTTACCTAAACCTCTAATTCATAGGTAATGATACAAGGAGAAATCCCCAGGTTATGTGGCATTCTACCAGAAGCCAAAAATTTAGGAAGATTTTTTTCCCCCTAATATTGCTTTCAGTTTTAAATTAATGCCCCTTAACTGAAACACTGCTTTAAAATCTTCATTCATTTTTTGCTTTTGTTTTATGTTGCTCATCAGCTCATTGCTTGCAGATTAATGGCAAAACCCTCCACTATGTTTCCAAATATATCTTCTATGTGCATTGTGCTTCTGGTGTTTTGGACATTATAGCATTTGGTCCCTAAGAATGGTATTTTTTTATGCAGTTTAAAAACTTCCCGGGAGAGAAGTTGAGATGTTGCTTACAGAGTAGTTAAATATTTTAAGTACATCAGTACCTCTGATTCTGATCTCTCTTTTGCATTAGCATGGTAAGAGTTGACCCTGCTACCACTATGCATCTTGGATGTGTCCCTAAATAATTCTCTGAGAGATTCCTTGTTAAAACCTGGGGTTTGGTAGAAATCAGGATTGCTAACTTGTCTTTGCCTGATTTAATTCACATGTTATTCCCTTAGATAAAAGTTCTGTAAAAGCGCCATACTATTTAGCCGTATCTATACAATCTGCTGTTAAGTTCACTTGTTTATCTTCTTTCTTAATGGGATATTTTAATTTAGGGTTTACTTTTAGCCTAGAGAATTAATGTTCAGGAAAATGAGGTTTTAAATTTCCCTTTTGACAAGGGATCATTGAATTAAATATAAGTACTTCCGGTTTTCCTCTTGGACTTTTTTTTTTTTTTTTTTGAGAAAGAGCCTCACTAGTTCAGGATACTCTGAAGGTCTGTGAGGTAGTCCTATAAATCTTTGAAAATGATTTTAGAAAGATTTACCAAATGTGATGTTATTAGAAGTTTAAGAAAGAGAACTTCCGGCCATCTGCTTCAACAGGAAAGAATTTATAGAGGAAAAGGAAAAAAAAAGAAAAAACCTGAACACTGTAACAACATAGGCCAGAGATGTATTCTCTGCGTATCTCAGAGATTATCCAGAAGGAAATGTGATTGTCTTTAAATTTTTGTTTTTTTAATGTTTACTTACTTTTGAGACAGAGTGTGAGCAGGGAAAGGGCAGAGGGAGAGAAAGACACAGAATCCAAAGTAGGCTCCAGGCTCCTAGCTGTCAGCACAGAGCCTAACAGGAGCTGGAACTCAAAGCTGTGAGATCATGAGCTGTAGTCGCTTAACCGACTGAGCCACCCAGGTGCCCCTGACTTTCAACATTCATAGGAATTGCGGCCCCTGGAATATAGGTTCGCGCAAAGGGCTCTCAGTCCATTTTGCTTTGTTGCCGCTTGTGACCATCTGTGTACTTGTAACATCATTCATGACCTCCTTTTAATGGTAATTGTCTAAGATTATACTCTGTATGACTTTGTTTTCTAGGCTTCGGGAGCAAGTTCTGCTTGAACCTAGCCGACCGTATGGAACCCATTGACATTCCAAAACAATATATACACATAACTATGTATTTGTGTGTGTGGGTGTGTGTATATATGTATATGTATGTGTGTATATATATGTATATGTATATACACACACACACATAATCAGCCAAAATCAGAGAAAAGGAACAGGGATTTAATACCTTTTTTATGCTTATTTTTGTCAAACATGTACTCCTTTCATACGGGTGGCTTTTACAAGGCAACTGCCGTCATTTAATGTTTTCAATTGTAATTGTCTTAATGGAAATGTTAAGATTCATATCTGATTAACATTTTTAATAACTTAGAGGAGATTTTAACTTTAGTTATTTAAATGAGATAAAATTATTGTACCGAATTCTCTGTCTGAAGTTTATTCAGGGGTGATTTCCCTGATGTGTGCATAAAATCAAGATTCTTATTTTACTGATGCATAAGTCCTAGTGGGACGAGACTAGGCATATGCTTTCAGATAAATAAGGAGTTACTCCAATCAGTTTTCCCCAATCAAAGAAGCCATGTCATTTTACTTTTAGAAACATACAAGTGGACTCAATATGGGAATTTTCATAATCGCTCATGCATTTGTCAGCCAACATTAAAAAGTAACCAACTCCTCAGGTATTTGTAGTTTACCCTAAGCTTCTATAAGAGAGTAGGTTAAAAAGAAAAGGGTAGATAATCTTTCTTATGCAAACTTTGTTCTTATAGTTTGTCTTTTCTTTCATTTTTTACTTTAGTAGCATCCTCCACACATTTGTGTGCCTGATTTGAAGGGAAGCTGGGGCACCCAGCGAGTTTAGCCATTAAGTTTCTGTGTATTGATTTGCAGATTAAGTAATGCTGGGAGGAATAAAGAAGGAAGGGAAACTTGGAACACAAAAGCCTTGCAGATTCCAGTGCTTGGGCTTCTGCTTCTAAGGAACTTCAGTGGCTTAGGGCTAAATGGCCATTTTATTCAAATGCTATGAAATCTGAAAACATACTGGCAGGTGCTCCTCTCCTTGGCAATTCATTCAGTATCCAGATTCTACAATGTTTAACTGAAGAATTGGTTATGTTTTGATCCTAAGAGTCAAACATTCTTTTTGTTTGGGGATGGGTTTGGGGTTTTTTTGTTTCTTTGTTGTTTTTCTTTTTTTTTAATTCCTAAAGCTTACCAGATATGAATGGCTAATATTCCATTGTTCTGCTTATTGTAATGGTGAATGCTTTAAGAAAAAAAAAAAGTGTAATTTGCTAAGAATAATTCATGATCTGTTTATGCGATAACTCCTTTTTGTTACAATTTTTTTAAAAAAGGCTATTTTTGTTAATGTAAAGTAAATATTTCAGAGCAAATTTTTTAAACTTATTGCACTAAATACAGGCTCTGTACAAAAAAAAAAAAAGCCTCAGCATTTTATCATTCCATGGAAGAAGAATCTTTTGAAAGAAAGCATTGCCTCCTACCAGAATTAGACAGTGAATTAGACCGGTATGATGGAAATGCATACAATTAATGTCACTAGGGCTTAATAAGCAGCTGTTTGCTAATGTGCTTCCTTTCAAAGGGTTAGACCTTTAAATTGCTGCAAAAGGTAAATTGTATTTTTTTTTTTAAGTATCCGTGTTCTTTACTCTAGCTAGGCTAAAATTTGCTAAATGCCTTGGTTTCTTTTCAAAGCTCATGTAATATTTCTGATTTTTCAGAATATTTGCAATAAGAGTCTGGATTTAAAAAAAAACAAACAAACAAAAAACCACACACACACACAGTTAAGAGCTCATATCTTGGCAAGACCTGGGAAACCAACATTGTGAGACTAGCTATTTTGAAACAATAATTCTCCAGAAGTTAACATCTAACATCGCCAAATGGTATCATTGTACTCTTTTTTATCATTTGAAATGGAATAAATATAATTATGTAACTAACAATTTTCCAAATAGATGAGAGAGCAAATCATGTAAGGAAATTCAGAATACCTTCTGTTTCATAGCCACACAGATTTTGGACATTAAGAAACATTGGGAACTAAATTTAGGATTGGAAAAAGTTTGGAAGATGAGTATCAAAACAGAAGACATTCTAGGAGCTAGCTATTCTAGGAGATGTCCCTCCAAAGTGACCTGATGGAAGTCTTGAATTTGGAAATTAGGTTCTACTCACTTGGACATCCCAGCATCATGGACTCTTGCTGCTCCCTGTTCCATTTGCTCGCAATCTCAGCTATTTGGAAGCCACCAGGAATGCTTTCTAATTATCATTTGCAACTAGAACTGTAATCAGAAAGAAATTTTGTATTTTTGTATAACTTGATTGTGTGCCATTTTATATAACAGGTCCTGTTTTACAAATAAATTTTGTTTTACTAACATTGTGTTTAGAAATTATGATCTATGTGTAACCATGTCATTTGAGTTCCAAATTAATTGCCAGGCTGTTTTCCCTGAGTGAATCTGTGTGCTGTCTAAGTAGATATATGCATAGGTGCATATATATTACCACAGGCACACACAGAGAGATGTTTAATATATAGAATATCACTCTCATATGAGCTTCATTCCTTGATACATTTTATAAAGCCTCACAGAGGCTTTTTAGCAATATTTAAATGTTTTGAGGTTATGTTTGGATATTCCTGCTGCCTCTTTCATTCATTGTGAGTCATTCTTCAGCTAGCTATGGGCCGCCTTATTGCTACTCGCTCACTGCCTCCATCTTCTGCCCAAGTGAGAAGAATAGATGAAGAACAAAAATTATCTGTGATACGTGGTTACCTGAATAATTTTATAAGCCATCGACTCTGTGTTGTGGTTTTTGTCTTTTTCTGTGATGGATCTTCAAAATTGTGTTCAGTACTTACATCTCCAGAGTTCTAGTTAGGGTCCTCTATTGTAAATGGTGATCGTGGTGGCCGGAGTATCACTGTGGGCTCTGCCATCAGAAAAAGCCTCTGGTACATGATTTAGACTTTCTAGGCTCCCGCCTCAATAGTAAGTGCTGCTATAATGTAGTATGGAAGGGAGAAGGTTACATTTCGGTGTAAGTCCAAGAGACCTATGTTCTACTGGAGGCTTAACCAGTGCGTTAGGTAAACATTAGGAATTTAGCTAGGGCGTTGAGATTACATAATCCTTGCATGGATGAGCAGAGCTCAGAGCAGGTTGTTCCTTTAAACCATTTAATGCAGTGCTTAATGTTTAGGATTAGAGCTTTTATCCTATCCTATAGCACGATTAAGTCCTATGTTACTGCAGTTTAAGTAGCTTAACTGTGTGTTGGTACCCAAACTTTTTCCATATTGGTTGGGGAGGAGGCACTCATTGAATCTTATTTTTAAATTATGCTGGAAATAAGTTCCTTTGTAGAGATGCTCCCTTACTCTTAGATATTTTTTTTTTTTTTTTTTTTTTTTTTTTTTTTTAGCAAAGAACATTAAGTTGCTGATTCCTAATACCATTGATCTTGGTATCTGCCAAGGCTCCTTGTCTTTCCAGGGCAGTTTCAGGATTTCATCCCAGTAGGGGTAGTGAGGAGATGACCCCTTCCTTTATCCTGGTCCTGAGCTGTTGCTTTACATGAGAGTAGTGCTTCTCCCACCAGAACTGCAGGCACCAAATATCAGGCCATATCAGTGTCTCCAAAGCTTCAACCATTTGCACCATGCACCAGCACTAGCTAATAAAGGCCATTTCAAGGGGGTCCCCCAGGCCACCCCACCTGCAAAATAGAAATAATGGGGTCTATTCCAAAAATGGAGCTGCCAATTGTGGTGACTTGAACATTTTAGTTTATCTTTGGTCAGTAACCTCATTTGAATTTCTGGAGTTTCCAGTAACCTTAAGGTAGCCTATGAGAAGTTTCCTTCAGAAAATAAGCTTTCACCTTTCGATAAGTTCTCTATTGCTTTTTTTATTGCTACTTAAAAAAAAAATCCTCAGAGTCTGGAGGTTTATCAATGCACCTGCCACAGTTAATTTCTGTATTCTTTTCACACATTTCATCTGACAGATAGGAGTGCACTATAACAGCTTGCCTAGAGTTAAGATGTGGTCCGTGAATATATATTAGAAAATTGCAAGTTCAAAAGTAAATGCACATAAGGCAGAGATTTGCATATTATAAATTCACAGCATAGAATTCCTTTTGCTTTCAATGCATATTCATGCATCTTTGTGTACTAAGGATACATATTAGCCCTTTTGAAGGGTAGGTACTGTTCACATACAGTGGCCGCTTTTGAAATTAGCTCATCTTTGATTAGTGGCACATAGCCCAAATTTTGAAACCAGGACCCTTGAGTGTGCCAAGAGAAAAATCTAGAGCTAACAAACTTAACAAAAAACTAAACATGTTGCATACACTTGTCAATTTAAAATAGCACACTTTCCCCCATTCAAACTTCATAAATGTGAGCCAAATTCTTACTCTACAAGTTTTAAGAGGAAAATTTTAATCCAAGATTCAAATCTTTTAAAGTGTCTTTCTTATAGAAAGCTTCAATGCAGAGTTTTTAAATTTGAGAATTTCTGTGGAAAACCTTTCTAGGGAGATACTACAGTAGCTTTTTGTCCTTCCCATCTTCATGATTTTTATATGGATAAAAAAAAGTCAAACTTATGTTTCAGTTTCAATATTGCATGAACAATTATCACTTTTGTAAATTACATGGGCAACATTTAAGTTTGATATTTTCTAAAGGAGTTCATTAGTAAATTTGTGGAAAAGATATGAAATTACTAGGAACCAAAATATTCGGCTATTTTATTCCATTTTGATACTCAGTTTTACAACTAAAATGATTTCCTGAGGAAAAAAATACTCCAGGCCAGGGCACTGAGAATAATAAAGCTTTTAGGTTACTCAAGGTCTAGTCAAGACCTAGCTGAATATGAAAGCATTGTAATTCCCAAATGTTTCAGGAAATTTTGACTTGTATTTGCTAAGACCTGAATTTCATATTTGATATTCATAAGCAGGTTCTTAATCTTGTGAGAGGACTGTGGGCCCCTTTGAGAAACTTATGAAAGCAATGGACTGTCTTTCTCTCAAAGGCACATAGCACATTTATGAACATTTAAAATGGTAATCGAATTTCAGGGCCCTCAAACTGCCAGCCTCCACCCCACCGTCCCCTTAGGGCCTCATGCACACAAATCAAAGGCTGCTCTAAAGTTGGTTTGATAACATGTTTTGAAATAAAGTAGTGATTAGGACTCCACTAAAAATACTTTTAAGATGGCACCTACCAACTTCTGACCTGGAATCATTTGTGTAACTTAAGACTTTTCATTTAGTACCAGTTTTGGAAATAGAAACCGCACTGATGTGAAAAGTAACAAAATGGTCGACACTGAATCTTCAAGACAGTGAGATTTCTTTCCTTGGAGGTGTGATGGTGTGTGTGTTGGGGATGGATTTTGGCAAACTACCACATTATTTGCCATGGATGAGAAAATCCAGACAGTGAATAAGGAAGGAACCCTTATAATTAGCCATCTACAGATTATTGATTCTTTTTATTGTTGCTCAGATACGACAAGTGTTATCACTAGATCACTGTCTAAAAATATATCAGTCATCATGACCAAGAACAGTTGAAGATGATGATAAATTAGCAAACTCATTTTAGCTCATAGTGGACAAAGTTTTAGTGGAAAGTTGGAGAAGCAGATGCTGGGGATGGGGAGCAGGGAATTCAGAAGTTGTTTTCCTCCCCACTTAAATGGGGGAAGTGTTTCTTGCTTTGAGTGTTTTCCAGTCACCCACTAGAGCAGCTTTTGACCACTCTTCCAATGAGACTGTGCCTTCACTCCCCACACCCACCCTGTCTTGCTTCTTTAGGGAAGCACGTGGATTTCTTCACATCTGCTCCATACTATTAGGTAGGGGTGCTGCGTCTACATGGAGGGCCCTCAGGGCCCTTAAAAAAGCACGCAGAAATCCTTAAAGGAGTTTGAAGTTCTTTAAAGGTTTGATTCCAGTGAGTCATGATTTATAGTCAGACATCAAACCATTACCTACCTTTTCAAGCTGAAGAAAGCAGTGGAAATCTCATAACTGGCTGGAGAAGAAAGGAGAAAAGTCAGCTCCCTACCCCACCCCACACATCCAGAAGAGCTTTAATGAACCTTCTACAGTAGCAAATGGAGAGACCATGGGTGGAAATTCCCATATCGGGTGAAAAAGGGCCTGAGTCCAGTGTAAGTATCTACATTTGATATTCCTTTTGTTGTAGATGTGTATGACTTAGAATGTTCTGATCTTCACCTCTGAATCTGATTCACCCATCCTGTCAGATAGAAATATAGTTTGAGTTAGTTATTTTTTTCAGGAATTTGTGTTAAATCATTCCGTGTGAGTAAAAAGTAGGCATGGAACAGAAGACTTGACTAAATGGGCACAGAACTGAGATGAAGCTACAGCCAACAGCCCACGGACCATGCCACCTGCCACTAGAAAATGTGAGCACTCTCTTTATTTACCATGTTGATCATCAGGCCAGGATTCCTAAATGGTGTTAGATACCTCACAGGAATGAGACAGTAACAGGACAGCTTTTGGGGGCTGATGATCTGAGACAGAGACTAGTCAGTTGTCCCTGTCCTCTGGGCTCCAGTAGTCTGTACTTGGAAGTTCTTTTTGGCTCCTCTTGGTTTTTGCTAGATTTGATTTTCAGAGACTTGGCATGGGGAAATTTACCTTTCTTCTGTGTTGACTTAGTGCTTACTACAAGGTTTTGTGGTGGTGTTGAGGTTTTCTGACTTCTTCCCTTTTACAAAAGGGTACCGGGAGCTCCGTAATAGAAAGAAGTTTCAATTATACTGTCTCAGAATATTCTTGACCACTGAATGCACTTTAAATAGGTCTTGTAACCCCATGAGGTAAGTTCAGTGGGTTGTTAGCTGATTTGATTATAAGAGGAAAAACTTTACAACTAGCAAACCAGAAAGGTGGGGAGAAAAGTGTGGAAGGCTCCTAACAAAATGACAGGGGCTCTGGAAAAACAACCAAAGACAAATGCATATCTTCTGAAGACCAAAGGCCCAACTCTAAGTACTTGCTGGCACAACCTGTCCAAACTTCTGGAGTTTAGAAGAGAGCCCCTAGAACAGGCAGCCAAGCTTTAAGACAAGTCAGTGCAATAGGGACCTGCTATAGACCTCTCAGGCTTTGAGCCTTCACATTGTGTCAGGCCCAGCCCAACGTATGGGGTGATAGGAATACAAAACACGCATCAGTGTGTCCCTATTTCTCACTGCTGTGTGATACAGCATGAGAAGTATGTTGTGGTGCCGCATATTTCTCAACTTGATGCCTTTTTGTCTTTGTCTTTTTCTTTTGCCATTGCATCCTATTCCATAGTGTCAGAATGAATTTTTGTACCATGTCCTGTCTGTCCATTATGAACTGGAGGATCACAGTTCAGCCTTCCATGAATTCCGTAGTTCAGGATCCTTTACCTTAGTGTTATTTTGAGCTTTTTCTTATCACAGTGTCATTACACTGTATTCAGGTGGGGAAACAAACATGTAGGTGCTTGAACATGCCCCACAGACACGGTGGTAGCCCAACTATTTGTGACTGTCATTATTGACACAGTGCAGACTTTACAGACAGAGCATGATGCTCTCAGAGGACTTTAAAAATATGTATATTAAGCAATTAACTTTCTGGAGTTATCAAATCTTGCTGGGAAATTAACTTCCAAGAGCTCTGAATTGGATGAAATTCCAGCTGGCTTCAGAGTACAATGAGCCGATATGAAATGGAGCTTTGAAATGTTTTTCTTGTGCAGAAA